TCTTTCTCTCACTCTCTCTGTGTCAAAAATAAATAAACATTAAAATGTTGTTAATAAAGAAAAAAAGAAATAAAAGAAATAAGACACAGAGAAGCAAATGAAGATCATCGATATTTAAAGATGTGTACCGGGATGAATAGCTTGAGGTAGTATATGATATTGTCCATGGTAAGAACGAGACAAGTAAATACTGCTTATAATTGTGTTTTAAGGAGGGCTTTTTTTGTTGTTGTTTGAAATCTTGTAAGACAACCTACTCATTTGTTTTTCTCCGTCGGAAGAAAGAACTTGTAAGGCATTAATTACACAAAATACACGTCTAGCCAAAATGTCTTCACTCTTTCTGTTCTCTCATGACTGCCTCTCCTTTATGTCACTGATAATACAATTATCCATGAATGATTTCTGTACCTTAACCTTCCCCTCTCTGCCTGTCATTGGGAGTGCTACACAGTAGGAGTGGGAGCTACTGACTTGCAAGAAATTGGAACACGTAAGACAGATCAAACAGCTGGTTATAACGATGTCAAAATTAAAATAAAATGTTCTTCTAGAATATAAGGCTGTAAAATATGGTTTTTGTTCATCTTTCAAATTCTGGCGTTCTCTAAGGGTATTTATCTCAAATGCGTGTTTCAAACAGAAAGGAATTTTTCAATGTGTTCGCAAAAGGATTCCCCCCCCATTTCTGTTTTTCTGCATGGAAGCCAACCACGGCTTCCCTAAAAGGACTAGAGTTTCCAGGAATTGCTTCAGAATCTTGGAAGAGATTTTGGAAATCATCTGATTTTCCCAATGCACACATTCCTTCCCCTGTTGCCCCCTGGAAGTGCCTTTCTAGCTACTATCTGGATGCTTCCAGTGGCAAAGAGCTCACTATTTCGCGAAGCAGACCCATTACTAATGGGTTACTCTAATTTCTGGAAAGATATCACTTACACTTATAAACCCAATTATGCCTTTCTGTTTTACCTGCCTGGTAAGAGATGGTGTGGTGCAACATGGGGCAGGGAGACCTAGATTCGGTCTTAGCCTCACTGCCTATAATCCTTCAAAGTACCGTCTATTAAACCTCCTGGGGGGCCTAGAGGGCTCAGTCACTTCAGCATCCAACTCTTGATTTCAGCTCAGGTCATGATCTCAGGATCGTGGGATCAAGCCCTGCACTGGGCTCTGTGCTGGCAGCGTGGAGCCTGCTTGGGATTCTCTCTCCCTCTGTCTCTGCCCCTCCCCCCCCACTCAAAACAAGTATACAAACTTTAAAAAAAAGACAAAAAAAAAAAGAACTTCCTGTTACTGAACACTGCACGTGCAATCTTAATTTTCATAAAAAGCCTATAACGGTAGGCACTATTTTTGCTGTGTCTTACTATGCAGAAATGATAACATTTATAATAGGGATGATGGCCGTATGATTGAATGCCAAGCACATGCCAGGTGCTCTGGAGACACTTTGTATACATTATAAACATCAGAATTGAAGTAACTTGCCCATTATCTCTCCTCAGCATCTGAAGAAGCTGGGTGTTCAGATTCAGGTCAGGTACTAAAAAGACTCTGGGTTTGACTCTTTAAATCTCATTTCTTTGTGAGATGGGAGTGCTATTATTTTCTTCACCAGGTTTTCTGAGATTCAGAAAGATAGCCTGTGAAGTTATCTGGCATTCTTGTTTGAAGAATACCTCCTGCTACATAGCATGTATTCATTAAAAAAATTTTTTTAATGTGCATTTATTTTTGAGAGAGAGACAGAGCATGAACAGGGGAGGGTCAGAGAGAGGGAGACACAGAATCTGAAACAGGCTCCAGGCTCTGAGCTGTCAGCACAGAGCCAAACACGGGGCTTGAACCCGCAGACTTTGAGATCATGACCTGGACTGAAGTCGTACGCTTAACCAACTGAGCCACCCAGGCACCCCTATTAATTTTTTTAGACTTTTTTTTTTTTTAAATACTCTTCCCTCCCTTTTCTCCTGGTTTATATTCCCTAGGCTAAATATCCCCAATTCTTTGGGTCTTCATTCATTCATTCATTCATTCATTCATTCAGCATATACATATGCTTCTTTGGCCCTGCCAGGATCCACATTATAGACAGGAAACAGACAATTAACAACCAACATGAATACTAAGTAAGTCATGCAAGGGGTGGGCGGCTAAGGCAGGCAGGATAGTGGAAACGAGGAGATTGGGGGCAAGGTCGTGGTTCATTTACTATAGCTGTGCAACCAGTTACCCCAAAAACTTAGTGGCTTAAAGCAACAGTGATCACTTATTATCCCTCGTGGTCTCTGGAGGTCAGAAATTTGGGACAAGACATAGTTGGGATGGGTCATCTCTGCCCACAGTGCCTTGGGCCTCAGCTGGAAGACTTGAAGTATGGCCTCTGGAATCAACTAAAGGCTCATTTATTCAGACGTCTGGTAGTTGACGCCGGCTGTTGACTGGAAACCTCAGCTCTTCTCTGCGTGGCCGTTTCTGTGTGGCTTGTGCTTCCTCACAACATGGAGGCTGGGTTCCCAGGGCAAGAGAGCCGGTAGCAGCCATGTTGTCTGTTACGACCCAAACTTGGGTCATTCCCACCATATTCTGGGTTCAAGACAATGTCAAAGTTCCACTGAGGTTGAAAGAGAAGGAAAACAGACCATGCCTGTCAATGGAGATAGGTCAATGACGTGTCATAGGAAGAGTGTAAGAGATGAGATATATATCGGTGCAGCCATTTTGGAAAGTACAGTCCGCCGTGGCGCGCAGGGTAGGTTCACTGATGAGGTAACATTTGAAGAAAGATTTAAAGGAGGTAAGGGAGGAAACCATGTGCCTAGCTCTACCTGGGGCAGGGCATTCCAAGCCAAGGCAGGAGCCTGTGAAAAGGCCCTGTGGCTGGAGCGTATCAGGAGTATCTGGAGGCTTGTATGGCTGGATCAGAGTAACTGAAGACGAGAATAGTAGGAAAGGTGGTCTGAGATATGAAGGAGGATATATGTGAGGGCTTCTAGGCCCCTGTAATTACTTGGCTTTTACTATGAGATAAGAAGCAAAATGGAAGGTTTTGAGCAGTTATGTTTTAGCAGAACCACTCTGACAACTGTGTGGAGAACAGACTGCACAGCAGGGGCTAGGGGTGGGAGGCAACAGAGGAAGGGAGACAAAGTAGGAGACTATTTTAGGAATCCAGGCAAGAGAGCTTAGTGGCTCAGAGGGAGACAGGAGCAGTAAAGGTGATGAGAGGTAGTACATCATGGACCTATTCTGAAGTTACAGCCAATAAGGTTTCCTGATGGATCGGCTGGCTGGTGTGAGAGAAAGAGGATTCAGAGGTGTCGGGGCCATTGCACGGATGGAATCTCCATTTTCTGAAAGAGGGAAGGCTGAGGGCATCCAGCTTTTCAGGAAAAGATCATGAATTTGGTCTTCAAGTACGAGACATCTGTTAGATCTCCAGGTGGGGCACAGGGCGTCGGGGCTCCGCCCTCCTGTTCCTCATGTAACTCATTCCCCTGTATTTCACTCTCGTGAAGATTTTTGGGTTTATAGCTAAGAACATACAAACTTTGAAGTGATGATTCCTGGTGGCTGTATATGCACCGTGGCGATTTTGTAGCTCAAGAGATTTGCCAGAGGATGACAATTACCGACCCAAGATTAAAACTAACTATTCCCGATCAGTAAGATGGGGGACGGGAGGAGGTGCAGGCGATGATGATTCTGTCTCCTTGACCTGCGTCACTGGTGACCTGTCAGGCAGCTGACAGTGGATGGATTAGGAGGTTTTGGTCTGTCGAACAAGGTCATGGTAGTCTGGTTGTTTTAAACAGCAGCTCAAACGTTTAATACCATTGGATGAGGCAACTGGAATTCGTCCAACACAAGTACGGTGTGAAAACACCAAGAATTCATCCAGAATGTTAGAGTCTCTGAAATGCCTCTGCCTTGTGGCCACTCGCCTCGTTTCACTGTTAAGAGGAAGTGTTGCAGAGCATTTGAATGGTCGGGGATGTGACATGAACAGTAGATGTTATTAACAATGTTGGCAACCCCCCCCCCCCCCCCCCCCCACCGTTCCCCATCTGCAGGCTCTGTGCCAAGTTTGCTGGCTCTGACCCTCACCCCCTGGTGCTTGCCCAGTGAATTGCATTTTGTATCGAAAGACCACCCCGCAAAAAGCCTGGTTTCCACCCAAGCAGCCCCTGCGCTCAGCAGCACCATCTACCCTGGCTGGACTTCATTCTGATTTGGTGTTCTGTTTCTGAAACCAGGTTGATTTATGTTTCCCCATCGCATTGGGCTGTTTTCTTCCACCACCAGGCACAGAGCATGCCTTCCCTGGTCACCTTGTAGATCGTCATCAGGCTGGCTTGGAATTGTTAGAATCTCTAAATAGCTCATAAGGTCTCTCACACTTGAGTTTGTGCCAGAGAAGCTATGGGACGATTAACCTAACGGGTGCTGTTTTATCCCCAGAGATGACCAGCTTTGTCCGTGCTGAAGCTGAGTGTACATAACAAACTCCCCTTTGTAAATCGCGATTGCAAGAGCCGTGCACTTTTATGGCATTTTTCTTCTGTGTGAGCGATTGGGTAGCTCATGAGGGTTGTGGCAGCGTTGCGGCTACTGGCAAGCACCCAGAGGATGAACAGGGAACTGTCAAGATTCAGGAAGAACGAGGGGCTTTTTAAGAGAAAGAAAACACGAGGCACCTGGGTGGCTCAGTCGGTTGAGCGTCCGACTCTGGATTTCAGCTCAAGTCATGATCCCAGGGTCGTTGGAACGAGCCCCGCATTGGGCTCCCCGCTGAGTGTGGAGCCTGCTCAAGATTCTCTGTCTCTCTCTGTCTCTCTCTCTCTCAAATAAAATTTAAAAAGAGAGAGAGAGAAAGGCTCTCTGTCTCTCAAATAAAATTTAAAAAGAGAGAGAGCAAGGAAATAAAGTAGCTCTAGCATATCTGATTGGACCATACTTTTCTCCTTACTGGCCCTTTTCTGCATTTTTCCTTCCAGGGCCGCCCAGAAGTTAAATCTGTCTTCCAAAAAGAAGAAACACCGGCCTTCCACGTCTTCTGTGGCCGAGCCCCCGCTCTTTGCCACCAGCTTCAGTGGCATCCTGCAGACCTGCCCTCCCCCGGCCCCGCCCTGTCTGCTGCGGGCCGTCAACAAGGTGAAGGACACGCCAGGCCTGGGCAAGGTAGGTGCTGGGCGGTGGGGCGGGTTGCGCATCGAGGCGAAAGCAGAGGACGAGGAGCCCGGTTGGTTTGTTAACACAAGGGGGTGACCAGGGAGCACAGGGGTCAAAATGAGATTCACTTGGAAGTACCGTCAGCTTTTCTTCAGTCCCGTGTATGACGTGGCCGGTGGAGACCATGAGAGTGTTCGAGGTCTGATTGGGTTTGGGCAGGACACAGTCAGCTGGGCAGTGTCGACAGATCTGTAGCCGTTTGGAGTAAACAAAGACACAAAGGGCAGCAGGCGGAGGCTGCTTCGAAAACTTCGTTTTCAGACACCACCCCCAGACTCTCGGTGCCGACGTGGGTGCCTGGGTGAACTCCTCACACTCTCCTCTTCAGATGGAGAATAAGCGAGACTCAGGAAAACACTTAGCTGAGGAAAGGTGGCTGCTGTGTCTCTTGCGTCTTCGTCAGAAGTGGGACGGGGCACACAACCCCGCCAGTGCCTTGCGCGCTCAACGCAATCTGCCACCGCCTTCTTTCTGGAACGCTGCAGGTCTGGCTGAAGGCTTGGCTGCTGTACTGTGAGGACCGAGCTTGCGCGGTCGCTGATCCCCTTTTTCCCTGGACCCCCCAGTCACGGCCGTTCCAGGTGCCTGGTCTTCCCGTAACTCACCGGCCTTCTGGAGCTCACCGTGGGGCCCTCTGCCCCTTCTTTCTTGGCCACGCCTTCCTCTCCTCACTGCTTCTCTGCCCCTCCTCCCCTCCTCCGTGCTCTCCCACTCTCCCAACTTCACGACCCGCCTCGGGAAGGCATGAACTTGCCGTGTTCCTCTTCCCGACGGTGAATAAACTGGAAGATTGTTTTGAACGGAGCATTGCTTACTCCAGCGGAATGTATGAGGTTCTGGAATTTTCCCGACGGTTCCCCCAGGCCCAGAAGTAGAGTAGGGAACAAGGGCTGTAGGGCGGCCCTCGCCTCACCAGCCAGGAAGGAGACGGAGAAAACCCTGCGGGTTGGGATCTCTCTCTAGGGAAGGACTCGTAGAGGGGACAGCTGCTGAGGGGGGACAGTGACACCCTCACGGAGGTCATCACGGATGGTTGACATGCTGCCTTCTGAGGAGGGTGGGTAATGCAGGGCTTTAAAATCGTGTCTTTTCTTTTTAATCGTGGTAAAGCTAACACGTCACGTAAAATTGACCACCTGACCCATTTTTTAAGCGGACGCGGGCTTCTGTTTTGCTAAGAGGAGTTTGGAACTTGAACGCTGCAGCCAAACTGCCCCTGGACGACGTCGAGGTAGAAGTACAGCAGAATTGAAAATAGAATAAATAGTAAGTGTTGTATATAAATCAGTATGGGCGAAGTTGAGAAGCTTGATTGAATTGCCAGAAGCCGCTTAATTATTTAAACCTGAGGTGGGGGTGGGGCGCAAGCCCCGCTCAACCCTGATCTCTCGTGCCTCAACCACACGAGGACTCCCTCAGGAGACCCGGGAGCGTTTCCCAGGCCTGTGGGTTTAGTGAAGAAGATAACTGAGGCCCCCCCCAGGGGGTAAGAGATTTTCGGGTTCCTCCTGACTCAAGCCTAGAAGTCAACACCGACAGCCATTTTGTTTTCTGCGGTCTCACTGGGCTGCCAACTAGGTATGCATGATCTTTAACACTTTGGGGTGGGGACAAGAATGCGCTGGGGCCACGGGGGGCAGCCAAATAACCGTGGGATCCAGTTGCCTTGATCCAGGGGAGAAGGACATGCTTCCCTTTGCGGAGTCACGGCTGGGAGAGAAGGGGTAGCAGGAGCGGCCAGGGGCAGACACACAGGGAGACCAGAGGCGCTCCGTGGCGGGGACCATGCCAGCAGCAACCCGGACCCTCCTCCCAGAGTCAGTGTGGCCGCTGGGCACCGCTTGAGGCCAAGAGCTCCTCTGGAGGCCGCGGGGGCGGAAGGGTTTGCAGTAACTTCAGTGTGTCTGGAGCTGAAGTACAGCAGACACACAACGCCGAAAACGTCTGGGCGTCGTCGGCCCCGGGGGCGCGCGTTGGCAAACTGTAGATGCTTGTTGAGCACCTATTACGTGTCGGGCACAGTGCTGGACACTAGGCTTGCAGTCAGGGGCAGACAAGGCAGAGGCCGCTCCTTCCAGCACTTTCAACCTGGTGCATTTATTCCAGTCAGTCTTAGAAGTCTCACTAATTTCAGGCGCTTGGGTGGCTCGGTCGGTTAGGCGTCCGACTCTGGATCTCGGTTCTGGTCATGATCTCGTGGTTCCTGAGATCGAGCCCCGCATCGAGCTCTGTGCTGACAGCGCAGAGCCTGCTTAGGATTCTCTCTCTCTCTCTCTCTCTCTCTCTCTCTCTCTCTCTCTTTCAAAATAAACTTAAAAAAAAAAAGGAAAAAATCTCACCAATTTGGACCAAATCGAAGGACAATTTGGCATCGCAGCCTTAAAATAATTCTAACTTGCAAGTAATATCAACAAAACGATACTGAGCGGTCTTGTAGACACATCCTTAATGAACAGATAGAGGTGATTAGTGGATGAGAGAAGCTTAGTGCCTGTTTATATTTCATTGATTTGGCTTATATGTAAATGATACCTCTAATCTCTTCGAAAATGGCTCCTTCCTCTAAGTCAGTGCGTGCTCCTCAGGAAATTTGTTTGCACAATTAATTAACGTCCATGTTTCAGGTTCATTCGTTTGTTGTCACAGCTTCATGCCAGAGCTCTGTCTTGGATTACAAGCGTCTAGAGCAAATTACGTTACCTGTTGAACTCACCGAGCGTGCGGCTTTGCAGCCATGCCTCCTGTGCGTATCGCTTAAAAAAAAATTTTTTTTGATGTTTATTTCTGAGAGAGAGCGAGCGAGCGAGCACGAGTGGGGGAGGGGCAGAGAGAGAGGGAGACACAGAATCCGAAGCAGGCTCCAGGCTCTGAGCTGTCAGCACAGAGCCCGACGTGGGGCTTGAATTCACGGACTGTGAGATCACGACCTGAGCCGAAGTCGGACGCTCAATCGACTGAGCCCCTCCAGGCACCCCCTGTGCGTAACACTTGAAGGCGAGAGCAGTAACGGTACTGGCAGTGGTCTCGGTGGTGAGGCCAGCAATCCACCAGTACCTGGCTAATTCTCCTCTTGCCAGGAGAGCACCTGGGGGGAAATCCAGGAAGCATGAGGGGGAAGGACCCTCCTTTCCCCTTCAGGACCCCCAGGAGTGCCTCCAAAGCTGGAATGTTGAGCGCTCAGCCTGTGTTCCCCCATCGTGTTTTGGGGACGTAAGACCGCTCGTATAGGTGGGTGCCCGCAGCAAGAGAACCCACACTGCGAACGATGGAGTGATCGCCCAAAATTGGATGGAGAAACTTGGAGGGGAATCGTGGCAAATGAAGCGGGGACAGGTGGGGAGGACGTGCCATAGTTGCTTTACTCAGCAAGTGTCTATAGAGGTACCGTGTCCCAAGTACCGCCGTGGGTGCCCCAGGAGGGCACACTACAGGGGAGCAGGGTGGCCATTCTGGGCGCCTCCTTGCAGAGGAAGTGGGGGGTGTCCTGATCTCCGGGAACTCGAGGCTCCCGTGAAGATGTTTGACTGGCAGCAGCCTCAGCCACTACTCCTGCCGTTTCCTGCCCCTGGGGATCCCTGCTAAGACTAGGCATCCTGGGGGGTGGCCCCCCGTCACCATCTGTCCGCAACCGTCTGTGCATCTCTAGAGTGCTTCCTGAGATTTCTCTTCCTGGGGCAGTGCGGCCCAAAGGCAGGCGACTTGGCAGAGTACTAGGAGTTGGGACTTAGAAATAGACTTTCTTGTCTGGCTGCATTATTTCTCTTCTGCTGTAAATGCTGGGCCATAACCCTTTGTTCTTCTCAGCCCTTGGTTTTAAGGTGTGTGTATTTCATTCAGCACTGTTTTGCAAACCCAGTAACAGCATATCTTGACCTCTGTTAAAAGGTATGTTCTGTAAATAATCTCTCTCTGTCTCTCTGTCTCCTGCTCGCTCACACACACACACACACACACACACACACACACACACACAGACACGCTGCTTGGCCAGTGTCACCACCAGGTTCTATATTGTTTAGATTTAGCAGAATTCTCAACTGTCTCTTGTTTGATGTGTAAACTCCTAGCATAGAAAAAATAAAAGAACCACGTGAGCTCTTTCGTGCAGGCTCTTTTTCCTTTACAGATTTATAAACCTTCCCACGGTAGAAGTCATTTGGTTGCAGGCACACCTCAGACATACTGCGGGTTTATTGAGGGTTTATTGCGGTAAAGCGGAGATCACAATCAAGTTGGCCAAATGTATGTTTTGGGTTTCCCAGTACATATGAAAGTTACATTTACATGATACCATAGTCTATTAGGTGTGCAGTAACATTGGGTCTAAATCAACAATGTACATACACACATACCTTAATTAAAAAATACTTATTGCTGAACACTGCTAACCATCTGAGTTTCCAGTGAGTCGTGATTTGCCTGCTGCTGGAGGGTCCTGCCTCCCTGTTGGCGGCTGCTGACTGGTCAGGGTGGTGGGGCTAAAGGTTGGGGTTGGGGCAGTTTCTGAAAATAAGACAAGTTGGCCTCATCGCTGGACTCTTGCTTTCATGAGTGAATTCTCTGGAACACGCGACGCAGCCTGATCGCATCTGACCCCCGGCGGAACTTCTTTCGGGACTGGAGTCCTGCCTCAGACCCTGCCACTGCCTTATCGGCTCATCTGATGTCCTGTTCCGAATCCTCCATTGTCATTTCAGCCATCTTCCCAGCCTCTTCACCGGGAGGACCTTCCACCTCCAGAAACCATGTGCACATCCGATCAGGTTTGACGAGGAGATCGCAGCCCTTCGGTCCCGTCTGCAGCCCCCACTTCTGACCCCGGTTCCCTTGCTGTTTCCACCACAGCTTCAGGGACTCCCTCCCCTGACGTCTTGAAGGGGCATCTTGAGGGCTGGAACCAACTTCTTCCAAAGCCCTGTGAATGCTGATGCTTTGACTTCTTTCCACAA